AGCGTATCTTTAATCACGACGAGATCGATACATTTGACTAAAACGATGTCGATTGACTATACAATCACGTGGTGAAAGAATTTTGTGTGGAAAATATCGGTTTGATCTTAGCAATAACTAAAATCTTATTTTTCTCTCTGATTTTCATGATATCGGGATGTTTACCATGTTTTTCTTGTTATTGACACTTAAAGTTATTAATTAAATCTATTTACTACTTATGAAATTCGGCCATTTTTCAATTAGAAGATTGTTTTTCATTTACCCATCCTGTTTCGGAATGCGGTCACTTTTAATAATTAGTTTATTAGAAATGATCGCAATTAGAATTTGGTCTATTTGTGTTTTCTATTCTTAAAATCGTAAATGTTCAAGTGCGACATCTGATGAAATATTTAGTATTAGTTTATTGATTTAACCAATAATGGAAACATGAGAAATAACAGTGAGATTTCTTAATTCGTACTTACGTTGTATTATTCCTTTTTATTAATTTCATAGATGACATCAGAAAACAACGGCGATTCTAATGCTCTTCATCTTCTTCCTGGTACCGATGGTGAGCAAGTTGGTGGTTTAATTATTAAAAAAAAATCTCAAGCAGTATCGTCAGATGAACAACATGTTTTTAAAGTACCTCAAATTCCTGTATCAACATCATCATTTGGTCTTGATAAACTAGCAGCTGAAAAACGTCGTGCACAATCGTCAGCGGCAGCGTCATCATCATCATCAAAACGTTCGAAACCATCATCATCATCATTTGATGATAATGATAATGATGATGAATATAAAAATTCATCTAATCATAAATCACGACATTTACGTGAACAAAGAGTTGAAACTCCATCTTCAACACGTTCATCACATCATGATCTTTATGATAAAAGTCGATTACCACCTAAAAATATCCAACGTGGTGTAGTTTATGGAAAAGAAAAACATAAACAACGTATGTTACACTTTCTTGTTTAATCATTTTTTACATAATAAAAATATTTTATTTTTTTCTAGATCGAAATAAAGATAATAAAGATAATGATGATGATGATCGATATGCCACACCAAATATTCGCGGTAGTCGAGGTAATATTCTAATTTGTAGAGAAAAAAATTATATTGTTTTTGTTGTTATTATTATATAGAATCACCATCAAGAGCACAATGGGATGATGATGATTTCGATAAACGACATTCACAATGGGAATATCCAACACCAAATGATAGTTATAATCGTCAAGGTTATAGAAAAAAACGTGATACTGATTATTATAATAGGTATGATTTAGTCTACTTTCGCCAAAGGCACATTTCGCCGATAAATCCATTCGGATGATATCGATTTATGAAACTACCGCTTTCGAGCACTCCGTTCCTGTCGATAAAAATATCTATATGTATACTAAGTCATTGTAATTTCAATGTTCATTAAGTTAACTATATTGTGTCTGTTCACTTTCAGTAATTATAAGGAAGCTCTGAAGTGTTTGCTCTTGAAATTGGAGGAAATCTATGTCAAAACAGTTTTGAGAATAGGAATGGGTAAGTGCCAGTTAAGGGTTGATTAGAAGGGCAGCTAATCATCTCCCTAATCAATAATCAGCTGTTTCGCCCTTAGTGCCAGTACTTAATTAAGTCTAGAAGTATTAAGATTTTTGTTCCTAAAAGTACGCGAATGCCATCCTCTCTTTCATTTTATCAGAAGTCACTAAGAATTTTCCGGTCCGAACAAAACTAATACTTCTAATCTTTGATTTCATAATTATAGCTTTTGTTTGTTTAATTTAGAAAAAGTAACGATACACCATTACCAACACCAAGTTTTCGAAAAAGTAAACGTGATGAATTTAATGCTGATGATGATCAACATAATTGGGAAGAAGAACAAAAAGTAATTATTCATATTACTTTTTAAATGGAAATAAATAAACGTTTTTTTCTTTAGCGTATTGATCGTGAATGGTACAATAATGAAGATGTAGTTGATGATGAATTAAATCCGTTTAGTAATGTTAGTGAAGAATATACAAAGAAAAAAGAACAAGCATTAGAATTAAGAAAAAAGAAACGTATGTCTGCTCAACAACGACAAATAAATCAAGTAAATTTATTTTTGTATAAAATTATTTCCTGTTCTTAAACAAACAAATTTTTATTTAAGGATATTGAAAAATGGGAAACAAATCGAATGCTTCAAAGTGGTATTGTAACAAAAGTTAATTTTCAGGATGATTTTGATGATGAAAGTGAAAGTCGTGTACATTTACTTGTTACAAATCTTGTACCACCATTTCTTGATGGTCGAATAAGATTTACTCGTCAATTTGAACCAGTTATTCCTGTTAAAGATCCTACATCTGATATGGCAATTATCTGTCGTAAAGGTTGTCAATCAGTACGAAAATATCGTGAACAAAAAGAACGTCGTTTAGCACAAGAAAAATTTGAATTAGGTGGAACAAAATTAGGAAATATCTTAGGTATAAAACGACGCGATGAAAAAGATGAACAATCAGAAGATGTTGATTATAAAAAATCACAAAAATTTGCTGAACATATGCAAGGAAAAAATGAGGCAGTATCAGATTTTGCAACAAAAAGAACGATTGATGAACAAAGAAAATTTTTACCAATTTATGCTATTCAAGAAGATTTATTAAAAATTATACGAGAAAATAGTATTGTTATCTGTGTTGGAGAAACTGGATCAGGTAAAACAACACAAATGACTCAATATCTTCATGAATCTGGTTATACAAAACGTGGTATGATTGGATGTACACAACCACGTCGTGTTGCTGCTATGTCTGTTGCAAAACGTGTATCGGAAGAAATGCAATGTAAACTCGGTGATGACGTTGGATATGCTATTCGATTTGAAGATTGTACATCGGATGTAAGTTTAATTATTATACATTAAAATACTTATATTGTTTTGTTTTTTTTAATTTAGAAAACAATTATTAAATATATGACAGATGGTATTTTACTACGTGAAAGTTTAACAGATCCTGATCTTGATCATTATTCAGCTATTATTATGGATGAAGCACATGAACGTAGTTTAAATACTGATGTTCTTTTTGGTCTTTTACGAGAAGTTGTTTCACGTCGACAAGATTTAAAACTAATTGTTACATCAGCAACAATGGATTCAAATAAATTTAGTGAATTTTTTGGCAATGTACCAATTTTTATTATACCAGGACGAACATTTCCAGTTGAACCATTCTTTAGTAAAGCTTGTGTAGAGGATTATGTTGATGCTGCTGTTAAACAATCTATACAAATACATTTGGGTGCTGGTGATGGAGATATTCTTGTTTTTATGCCCGGTCAAGAAGATATTGAAGTAACATGTGAAGTAATCAAAGAACGTTTAAATGATCTTGAAGGTGCAAAACCCTTAAGTATTTTGCCAATTTATTCTCAATTACCTAGTGATTTGCAAGCAAAAATCTTTCAAAAAGCTGAAGATGGTATAAGAAAATGTGTTGTTGCAACAAATATTGCTGAAACATCATTAACACTCGATGGTATTATGTATGTTGTTGATTCAGGTTATTGTAAATTAAAAGTTTATAATCCACGTATTGGTATGGATGCTTTACAAATATATCCAGTTAGTCAAGCAAATGCAAATCAAAGAATGGGTCGAGCTGGGCGAACAGGACCAGGGTAAGGTTTTTGTTAGGAATTGTGACCTTTTATTATGTATAGTTTTTATATACAGATAGAGACAATTAACATTTTTGCTGTAGGGAAGTTAATAAAACGATATTACACAAATCTAATATTAGTAGAGATCAATTATTGTTATTAAGGAGATTTTTAAACCGAGACATTTGTTACAAATTCTTAGTTTTCTTAGAAAAGAGAAATTATTTTGAGAAGATATACGTTATGTATAATTTTCGATGGTGAGAAATTCAAATCTACTAATGAATTTTTACATTCCTAGGAACAATATAATACTCATCCTATCCATTTTTTCTATTGCTATATAAGTTCTTATCCTCTAAACACTTCGAAACTGTACTTTATTCCTTGACTGAGCCAGTACGATTGACGGCTCATTATTACTATTGCATTCCTAAATTTGCTTATTGGACATGAATCTGGTATTTCTATTTATTATAGTTCGAAATGTTGTCTATACATTACATCTAATGTATTTACAATGTTGCAAGAAATAGAATACAGTAAAGGTTGTTAGCTGTCACATTACAGCTGATCGTACTCCGTCAACTATATAACATTATAAGTTCTATTTCTAAGCAAAGACAAACTAACAACATTTTTCTTTCATGGCTAAAGTTCTGATTACTCTAATAACATCAGTATTGATCATTAATAGTTATATTTCATATGTATGTATGTATATATCTATAAAAGCTAAGATCATCTTTCTTTTCTCCATAATTATTGATTATGTAATATGATCTTATCAATATCATATATATTTTTCTCTTATAGACAATGCTTTCGTTTATATACTGAACGTAATTTTCGTGAAGAAATGCTCAAAACAAATGTACCAGAAATTCAACGAACGAATCTTGCTAATGTTGTTCTATTACTTAAATCACTTGGTATACAAGATCTTCTTCAATTTCATTTTATGGATCCACCACCACAAGACAACTTAATGAATTCAATGTATCAATTATGGATATTAGGTGCATTAGATAATACAGGTTCATTAACACAATTAGGTCGTCAAATGGTTGAATTTCCACTTGATCCAGCAATGTCACAAATGTTAATAACATCTGTTGCAATGGGTTGTAGTAGTGAAATTCTTATAATTGTATCGATGTTGTCTGTTCCATCGATATTTTTTCGACCAAAAGGTAAAGAAGATGAATCTGATGCTAAACGAGAAAAATTTCAAGTGGCTGAAAGTGATCATTTAACATTTCTTCATGTTTATATTCAATGGAAAAAAAAGTGGATATTCAAATAATTGGTGTTCAGATCATTTTATTCATGTTAAAGCAATGAGAAAAGTTCGAGAAGTTCGACAACAATTAAAAGATATTATGGATTCACAAAAATTAGATGTTAAATCATGTGGAAATTGGGATATTGTACGAAAATGTATATGTGCTGCTTATTTTCATCAAGCAGCTCGACTTAAAGTAATTTAAAATTAAACATTTTTTTTTAAATATACTTTTTTTTATTTTGTTTTTCAAAGGGTATCGGTGAATATGTTAATTTACGTACAGGTATGCCATGTCATTTACATCCGACTAGTGCATTATTTGGTTGTGGATTTACACCTGATTATATTGTTTATCATGAACTTATTATGACAACAAAGGTATGTAGTTAATTAAGAATAGACTGAATGAATTGTTTAATTTAATTTTTAAAAGGAATATATGCAATGTGTCACATGTGTTGATGGCCATTGGCTTGCTGAACTTGGACCTATGTTTTTTAGTCTTAAAGATTCATTTAAAACTCGTAATGAACGTGCACGAAAAGAAAAATCAGAAACATCAACAATGGAAGAAGAAATGCGTGTTTCACAAGAAAAATTTAATCGAATGAAAGAAGAAGCAAATGCGGCTGGTCAAACACCTTCTATACGAAATAAAATTATTACACCGTTTAATCGTATACAAACAACACCTACACCAAAAAGAACAACACCATTTCGTAGTGGAATTTAATCTTTTTTGTCCTCGAATATAAATCTTTATGTATTTTGTGTTTTGTACAAAGAAAAATAAATGAAAGATTGATTTCTTTTCGTATAAAGAAAGGCAAAGAGCAACAAACAGCTGACTGTTCTCTTCTTCTATGTCTATATGTGTTTACATGCGCCTAGAAAAAGAAGACAATGAAAAGATAGAAGCTCTCGTCCTGTATATATTGATAATATACAATTGAATATAACACTTTACTATTCTCATCAATCATTGATACAAGTATGTACATATAGAGTGAAGAAAGAAGAAGAAGAAAAATCTTGTTTTATTTCTATTGTTCTTTATAATATATATTATTGTATCCTATGTTAATTTGACCGGACAGCAGAGTAATGAATGGTAAGTGTTGATTGTTGATATGCTGAATTATATGTGTATATATATATATATATGTATGAGAAAAGAAAAAAACATCAGCACATTCTTCTCATATTTTTTTTTTGTTATTAATAATACGAGATTTTTCTGATATGGTACTTTCTTTCTTTTCTTCTTCTTCTTCTTATGTTATCCCATATTACCACATAGATGCACATAGATATTCACATATGCTACTCGTTGTACATCATATCTATAGAATGCAAGAGTAAGATTCACTTAGATATCAATAATTATTGGATTAGTTGTTTTTATTGTTTTCTATTGGCAACTAAATGCTTATATTCATCAGTAAACGATTATTCTCACATTTATACAATAGAATCGTATGATCGTTTATTATATCTATATACACAAGCAAATAACAGCCATTTAAAATTGTGAGGTCGATGAATATGACACTTTTTTCAATTATTTATAGATAATATGCATAGAAAAAAAAATATAAAATTGAGGTGTACATCTCTTTTACAAGGTAAATTGGACGACAGTTTTTTTTTTAATAACCTCACTATTTCTCATATTCTTATCAATTATATTGATACATCTCAAGTATATACGAATATATGTATATTATCTCTAGTGAGTATATTGGTGTTTGAATATAATTATTTTTATTCTAGATTATCTATCTATCTATATTTATACATATATATTTATATATCTATATAATATAATAATTAATGAATGAAATATCATCAATCTCAACAATTGATCAAAAAATGGCTGAGATGCGTATTAAAAATTTGGAACTACTTAAGCGTCATCAGGTTTGCACATGAATACACACTAATTATTTGTTTGGTGCACATATATAGAGAGAGACACGGGAAAAGATAGTCGACGATTGATATTTATCGAGTAAAAGGCCTATTCTTTCCCTTCTATGTTCTATATTCTCTCGAATGTCATTACAATAAATGAGAGATTTTTTTTGACAATGTCTTTCTCTTCTTCTTCTTCTCTCTGTCTTTTCTCGCTTATAATAAAGAACATGCACACATATAGAACGAAGGATATAGAGTTTCAGCGTTCGCTATGAGAATACGTTATACATTGGCAACTATTGTGATTACTTACATGAAATAATGTTTTTTCTTCTTATTCTTCCTGATGCTTTATTATCTTTTGCCTTCTTTGCATTCTATTAAATGAATCTTACCTCTAGAAAAAAAAGTCGTGTCCTATTTCTATAAATTAATATTATCCGCTTTTTTTCTTCTATCTCAAAGGAAATCGAAGAGGATCGACAACTTGCCGTTCAAACGGGTGCAATAACAACAACAACAAATATTGTTGAACCTATCAAAGATAAAAAAGCAATGAGAAGTGTAAGATTTATAAGAAACAATTTGTATATACACGTTCATCTATTTATTGATAGGCAACAAAAAATCGTACAAGAATACCAACAAATCAGTTAAATACTCAGGTATTTATTTTCATCATGTAAATATCAAAAATAAGAAATTCGTTTTTAGGAAAATCAATCTGAACGATTACAACGACCACCCATACGAAGAAAATTTGAAATTGTATATATTTTTCATTTTTTTTGTATCTAAAATATATTTTATATTCTTAAATCCAAGGTTCGTAATGATACACAACAACCTCAACGTGCACAACGTATTGATTATAATCGTTTAAAACGTGAACATGCACAAGAAATCAATAATCCGAAACCAAATAATAATAATAATTCAATTAATCCTGATTTACATCAATATGCATATCCATTCCATAAGCAATCAATAAATAATAATAATGGTATGATATAAGTACATTATTTTTAATTATATGTTAATAGTCTTCATTACTTTCGAGAAGAAAAAAGATAATACGAATCTCGAGTTTTATTTTTCTCTTGTATTCTAACAAACAAAGAAATTCATTTTATGCGTATAGATGCCGACGAACCGGCACACGCAAAAAGACTTGTTATTGTTAATAATAAAGGTATGTTATATTCATAAAATGAATTGCTGCTTCTTTCTCACATATCAGCTTGTTTTTAATCGTGCATGATGGGATTGAGAATGCTTGTAAATCAGCTGATTAAATGCCCCTGAACGCAACACAAAAGTCATGTATGATATAGTTATATACATATGTATATGAAGACAAATGTTAGATATACCTGGATGTTCGATATATACGTTTGTGTCATCACTATCGATATACGAAAAGAATAGAGAAGAAGAAGAGAAGAAAGAGAGTGATGAAATAGTATTATACGAGACGAAGCAATGCACACTCCGTTATAGATCATCGATTCGATTAGAGTCAACAGACAACGTTTCGTTAAGTAAGTAAATTATCTTTAACGAAAAAAGCAAAAAAAAGAAATTTTTGTTTATCTTAATCATTGCATGTTGTTTTATTGCCATGTATTATATATTTGTTAATTGTTCATTTTGATAAATTAGAAAAAACTTTCTCTTTATTTAAGCTGATAAGATTGGTAGTGGTCGATTTAATCAACAGCAACGAGCTCAAGAACAGGGACAACGTAAAAGAGAAGGTTAATATTTTTTTTCGTTTTTTATTACCTTGAATTTTTAATTGATGTATTTATAGAACGAATGCGTCGATGTACAGTACAAAATAACGGGCATCCAGGAGGAGGTACTAATGAATTTCATCTTGATGTACCACCAATGCCAATTTGGCAAAATAATCAAATGCATGTTCAATTATTACCAACAAATATAAATAATCATCATACAGGAATAGATCATCTTATTAATACTAGTGGAGATCAATTAGATCGTAAATAAATTATTTTTTTTTGAATTAGAAACATAAAACACATCTTTGTTGTTTTTTAATTATATATAGAATCTGCTTATATTCATAATTTTGTTTATCCACCTCCAGCTCAAGCATCACCATTCAATGGTAATGGTACTGTTTATTTTGCTCATCCAGCTCCACCTCCTTCATCTTCTTCTCAACAACCACCACCATCACAAACACATTTCCATCAATATCATTCAGCACGTACATTTGAAAATAATAATCGTCATCAATTTCAAATACCTTCATTTCAAACATCACCCATTTTTCAACCACAACAACAACCACCACCAGCTGTATTATCTACATCGAATAATTATCAACAACAAGAAACTTCACCAACAGATGTAACACCTCGTTTTCGTCATATAAAAACCCCCGAGCATGAAAATAGACCATCACAAACAAGACCAATGTCAGGTGATTTTGAACGTTTACATAATAGTCATCATTTATCATCGACACGTTTCAATAATAATAATAATAATAATCATCGTTTTCAAGCTCGTCCACAATCATTTTATGATTTTTCATCAAATAATAACAACAACAACCAGAATAATTTTTTTCATTCATCAAACAATAATCGTTTTCAACGAAACATTAATAATAATAATAATATCAATAATAATAATACAAGCCTTCCACTTTCTGCTTATATGAATACAGATGATTCATTAAATGAAAACGAAAATATGAATAATAATAATACACATTGGGGTACATCATCATATCAACGACGACGATCTATACAAAATCAGCAACAACAGCAACACCAACACCAACAACAACAGCAACGAACATATCATCAAGATAAACATCAATTTCCATTATCATCTTATGATCCACGTCAATATGGTTTTGATAATAATTATCAACGAAAAAATAATTTTAATAATGGAATAAATACAAATCGTCGTAATCTAAATAATAATCGTAATAATAATGATATGAATAATTCTAATGATATTGATCTTATTGAAGAATGGTGGGAAGATAATAATACTGAATTAATCGGTACAAATCAATCTATAACAAACACAGATATGCAAACAAAATCAACAACAGTTATAGATGATAGTGGTAATAGTTCATTATCTACAAGTATGAATTTAAAAGAATCAATATCAGATGATTTTAATAATCCATTATCTGATGTATCAACTACCGATAGTATGTTCGTTTTTTATATTAGAGGAAAAGAAGAACACGTTTTTTTTCTCGTTCAGGTAATATTATCGAATCACTTGATAAACTTCAACAAGAACTTAAATTAGAAGAAGCGGTTGATGAACGATTAGCAACAACAAATCATGATAATCTGGAAACAATCAATAGTACATCCAATAAAGAAGTAAGGTTTATTATTAACACAAATATAATATAAATAAAATTTTAATATTATCATCTATCAGCCAACAACATATGATACAGCTCATTTTATGCAATGGGCAAAAGAAAAGTTTAGAGAGGAATTAGCAGGTCGACTTACCGCTCAGGTATGACACGAAATAAAAAAAAAAACAACAACAGCAAAGAATGAGCATGACAATAAATTGATTTTTTTTAATTTTTTTCGCATGTTTGCATGGCTTTTTGTATTTTTTTAAAATTGATTTCGTACTATAAATAGAAGAAAACAATATTTTATTATATTTACAGGAAATTCAACAACATGATGCTGCAACAACTGATGATGATGATGATGATGATGATGATAATAATAATCAATCGACAACAAATATTATTGAAAAAATGGATGCACTTGAGGATGATCTTCATGAAAAATTAACCATCGATGAACATCAATCAAATACAAATGAATCGATTGTTGTCGAATGATATATCTGAAGAAGAAATAAGAGATTTGTTATTTTATTCTTTTTTATTTTCTTTCTTGTATACATACGTACATGTAGAGAACTAAGTTTTATTGTTTTGTTTTGGGTTTTGATTTTTATCTTTTTCTTTCTATCTTTCTTTTTTTTCTGTAAACTTTTATGATGATCATTTGAACATGGATATACATGACGTCAATCGTTGAGTATTTATTTATTCGTTAGAAAAAAAAAGAAATATTAGATGATGTAGAATAAATGGCTGTGATTCATGAAAAGTCTTTTACATTTAGACTATAAATAAATTTATACAGATTCGTAGCAATTACATATATTAACATTCGGATGTGTCTTGAAAGTTTTAAAATAAAATATTGATATATTGTGATGTATCAAGTTTTGGTTTCGAAATTAAAGCAGAGGATTATGAATATCACGATCAAATAACATTATCCGAGACCTTCACTTGTTCAAGATAAATTTCTCGCATATTGATTTTTTTCCTTGCAGTAGATGTGATTCAGTTACATTAATCTTTGTCATAAATATTGACAGGTAAGAATTTAGTAGTTATGAAAAAGAAAAAATAATCCTCTTATTGAAATAGATTTAACTAATAATAAGAAATTCTAAGTGAAAGATCTTATTTTGAATTTTCATTTCACTATCAAATATTTAATATAGTGCTACCTAGAGTGATGCTCGACTAAAGCCTAGTCATACATAAATAGGGACAACCACATAATAACATTTGTTCAAAAGTAAGGTTTTTATATCGTACGGTATACTCAGTTCTATACGTAAATGAAAATAATATATCTAACCGTCGTAAATCTTCGTTTAAAAATCGTATTGATCATTTATCGCGCTATGCTTTTATAAATATTTTTACTAAGATTTTAGTCATTATTGATTCTACTCAATAAAAACTACATCTGCTATTATTAAGAGATAGTTTCTTGAATTCAACTTTGCTGAAAAAGACACCCAGCATATATAACAAGAAGAAAACTATTACATAGTATATGAAAAAAATGATTTCCAATAAGTGAAGACATTAATTTATCTTTGCCATTACTATATTGTGTAAATGTATATCTTATAGTTTTTTTAAGGTATAACAACAACAAAATACTTTTATATATAGAAAAAATGATTCATTTTTCTTTTAACAATCAACTGTTACGTGATTAAAAGTATTTATGCAAAATATACCACTTTACATTTCTTTATGTTATTACTATTGACATAATAAGCGTTCTGTAAATCTATTCATAGAAATTCATTACGTGTCGTTATATTATATTGCATTAATTTTTTCAAAATGCTTTTTTATTAAAAGAAATTTTCAATTTTTCGTACTTTACATTTACGAATACGAAACACTATAGAAATATCGAAAGCCTTTCTGCGATGGAAGTCATATTCTCATGTTGTTGTTTCGATAAAGCAATTCAATGCATCTGAAAAAATCTTCTCATATTTCTCTCTAATAAAAAATCATATTGTCGTTGTCAAACTTTTGATTAAAAATAATAAGCATATTGCACGCAGTTTGTCATACATTCTTTTACTATCGATAACTATAGAAGTAGTAATATTACGGGTGACACAGAAAGAAAACGGCATCGATAAGACTTCTATTCATACATATATCAAGCTGAGTTCAAATACTTTGTAGTAGTAATTACATGATGTAGATGAGAATAAATACTTGAGGGAGCTTAGTTAAATTCATCTTTGGAGTTTGATACTACCCACTCAGACATATGTTGAAAGAAAGGACGTTTTTACGCGTTAGAAAACAACTTTTTTTTTCAGTGAAAATTGACTTTCGCATCGTTAACGCTTACACAATTGTTTTTTTAGCGCATAAAAATGTGCGTTTTTTACGTTTAAAAAAGCATTGTTTGACTGGTTACCGTTAATACGCATATTTTATATTTTTCAGATAATTTATCTGATTTAAATTATCTCTATATGGTTAGAAATATTGCATTGATAACATTGACCATATTATATACAGGAATGATAATAATAATCATTTCTCTATATCAAAACAATCGATCTCAATTGACATCACTACTCTACCAAAAATTTAATAGTTCGAATATTATATCAACGAAATCTTCTCAATACATATGGTGTGTAAATCATTATGGTCCAAATAATCAATTAAAAGATTTTATCAAATGTTGTATTATAGCAAAACTGAATAATTATACTATAGTCATACCTCCATTATATCCACATTATGGTCGAAGAAAAACACGATCTATTCAATGGTTTGATGAATTTTATGATTTAAAACAATTGAATTTAGTTGTTAATTTCATAACACTTGATCAATTTATAGCAAAATTTAAGACTAATAAAAATAAAGTAATGATAGATTGTTATATTCGACAAGCGGAATTAATTTCAAATAGAATGTGGTATCCGATGAATACTCTTGTATCGATTCAGAATTACTTTAAAATAAAAATCGATTTTTATCGTTATGAAAATATTTCTCGAAATTTAAATATGAATGAAATATTGAATAAATCTAAAAAATGTTCATCTATATTTCTCCATATCCATTATACAGCATTTGGACAATATTTCTCATCTCCTAATATTTATATACAACCCATTTTTCAACATCTACATCGTACTCCATTAATTCAACGTATGGCATCACAATTAATAACATTATTACCAAATTTAGTTGTTGGAAAAAATCATTCTCAAGCTAAACTCTCAAAACTCGCTGTTATTCATATGAGACTAGGTGATTACAATGTTATGAGTTTATCGAATTACATTCAGCAAATATTATATCTAATTAATAGTAGTGCTCATTTTACACATCTACATATAATGTGTCCATATTTAACATCTACAAATATAAAACAATTAACTGATAGTCTTCCAATTGCATTCACTACTACACAGCATTTATTAAATTATGTACGTTTTATATTGGATGATTATTTATATGATGTATTAGAACAAGAAATAGCTTATCAGGCACCGATTTTTATTGCATCACCTTGGTCAACTTATTCAGCAACAGTTTTAATACAAAAAGTCTATCATAAAAAAGGAATTGTATATGTATCATCGAAAAAGAATAGTAGTCGACCACTTCTTGTGACAGAAAAAAAATGTAAAATATTTCAAATAGTATATTTTATATAAATCGAAAGTAAAATTCACTGTTAGTAATTTATTTCATTTTTTCAAACAAAACTACCATAAAAAACTAAAAATGAAATAAAAACAATAGACTATATGTCCTATTTACTCAAGCCCAGTTTCAGTTCCACATATAATTACTTCAAGACCTAATGCTTGAAAGCAAGCTGCTTTAACAGCAAGTGCTTTTTGTGCAGCTTGAACATCAGGTACATATGCAACTTGTACATGATTAGCTTTATGTTTAGCCATCATTTGATCTCGTGTAATACCAAGTAATTGTGCATGCATCATCGGCCATTGTGGTGTTGTATCACGCCAACGTCGTTCAGTTTCCTCACTTGGTAATTCTACAGCATGTGCACGACCAATATCGACTTTCAATCGATTATCCTCTATATAAACACGACTCCAAATAACTTCGCCTGGTTTTGATATACCACGAATTGTACCACCACCTTTTTGAAAATACATTGGTGGTTGACGTACACTAATAGCACCTTTATAACCACCAACTAAATGTTCAGGTGGAACAGCACCAGATATTTCAAAAACCCATGTAAATATTCCATTATAATCTTCTCCATAACGTACATCATGTAATGTTGTTTCTGGTGAATAACCTAATTGTTTCCAAACACGATTTGTAATTAATGCATCAATACCAGCACATTCATCAACTTCATTAAAATGTGGTAGAGCTGCATCTGGATAAAGGTCATATGCATTTGTACGATCTTTAACAGGCGGTCGATCAACATTATTAAGTAAACCTTCGGCAAGATCTGATGCTGGTACTAAATCTTTTAAACCTTGTTGATATTGTATTCCAATTAAATCACAACCGAAATCATCTGCTAAACGTACGGCAGCAATATACATTTTACATTGCCAAAGAATTTGATCATCAGTTAAATCTTTAGAATCAATTTGTTCTTCTGGAATTATAAATGTCATTTCTTTTCGTTTTAACCATGCATATACAGCACGAGCTTCTTCATCTTTTGTATTTTGCATTTCATAATAAAGTGCTGATTGACTAAGACGTTCTTTAAATATACCTAATTTATGTAAGAGTTCATCAGGTACAATAGCATTATACATTCCCATACAACCCTAATAGAGAGAAAAATTTAACAGAATATTATCAAAAAATATAAAAAATTTATACTTCATCAAATACACCCATAATTGCTTTATTTTTTAATAAATCTTCCGCAGTTTTCTTTCCAATTTCTTCGTATTCACTCGATATTTGTTTACATTGTTTTAATGATCGTATATGAGATATATCATGTTCAATTGTACCATTCTCAAGCCATTCTTTGAGTTTATTCAAAAAAAATTCATCAGTAAAATCAATAGACCATAATGTACTATATTTAATATTTGCTTTTGTTAATGAACCATTTAAATTAAGCATACCAACAAGACCAGGCCATTGTCCACTCCAATTTGCTACAGTTAATATTGGACCTTTATGTGTTGTTAAACCAGCTAGAACATGATGAGAATATTGCCAAACAGCTTCAGCAACAATTAATGGTACATTATCTGATGGTAAATTAGCAAATACTTGCATACCCATACGTTGACTATCAATAAAACCATGTTTTTTTATTTCATCATATTCATGTGCACGTTTTATTGTATGATTAAATGATTGAAAAGTTTTATTAAGAGCTTTTTCAAGATTATCTTGTGCTTCCCAACATGTTTGATTAGCAGCTAAACGTGAATCTCCACTTGCAACTAGATAAATTGGTGATTGAATTACCATATTAATAGAAGAAAAACAAATCGATTAAACGTTCTATACTATATTAATACGATAGACATAATTTTATTTCTTTTTTCTTGATTAAGCAAATACAGTATCACTTCTTCTTACATATAAAAACAAAAAAACGATGAAGAACAAGTGAAGAAAAAATATAGCAAAGTTAATGAAGTACAACGCCACACGTGTATATTCAAAGAGATAAGGAGATTGTCGTAAATGATAAGACAAAATTTTTTTTATGGTATATTAAAAATGCTTATCTAAATTCAATGTCCTTCATATTATACCAAAACATATTCTCTTTCATGAATTAATTAGATATTCATGATCTAGTGGACGAAAAAATAATAATTGTAATATGATTATCATAATAAAAAATTTGATAGTTTATTCGTTTATGAGCGTCATCTGTTCGAAAATATGTATCAGTCATTCGATATATCTCTTTGTTTATTTAATGACAATATCCAATCAGTATTATTCGTAATCAATTCACTGTAACCTATTTATATTAAATATACCCTGAAATTATCATTAGACACAAAAAAAACAAATAGTTGGTTTCTATAATTAATTAAAAGGAAGGAAGTTTGATGGCAGATAATAATACTACTCGTAATTCATTTTGTAAATGTAAATTTGAAATTTAATAATTATCATTGAAATATTAAGTTCTATTTAGCTCGTTCGCCAACAAATTCATATCTTCTACAACAACAAACATCATTATCACCATCAAATAGTCCAAATAATAAAGGAAATAATAGTTTATCTCGTGGGCGTCAATTATGGAATATAGCTATCGAAAATGTACTTGAACATGAAAAAACACCACCAATATCATTATCATTGGTATCATCAGCGGTTGATAATGAACCTATTGGATGGCATAATTTAACAAAGCGGTAATTTTTTTCGTATTATTTCACGTAATTTAGTAGTTTTTTCTTTTCCATCGAAAAGTCAAGAGATAATAATATAAGATCAGATTATTAATGTATAAAACCAGTTGATTGATTTATTCAAATTCTCAAGGGAAATCCTTTTTTACAATGATAATAATCTATCGAAAAGAACAAACGAATAAAAAAAAGAAAGCGAGGTCGATATGGTGATGTTGATTGTCGACGGCAAGCGTAAGGCCAAGGAAAAAAGAGAAAAAAAGAAAAAAAAAGCAGTCTAAGTAACTAGTTTGTTTGCATACTTACACGCATGGAGTGTAGATTGGAATAAGAATAAGAGTTTTTTTTGTTCCTATCAACATCTATTAACGTGCATATAAAGAAACTGTGACTTTATTTATTTAATATATATATTCATTTAACGAAATTTTCTACAAAACTATTAACTAATAATGATATGTCATCATCTTTATTGTCATCAACACGTTATCATTTATTGACTTGTGATACTGAGGAAAATCAAATTATGGAAAAATATCATGAAAAACAAAAACATGATTATTTACATGCTTCTGCATCTGCTCCTACAATTATTAATAATAGTGATTTCATATGCGAGTCAAAAAGGTGAGAGTAATATTTATGATTTATGTATAATATTAGGCAAATGACTAGGATGTTTTATGTTCTAATGAACTTTTATGTTGGGTTGTCAATTCTATGTATTAATGTCCTTGTCAATACGAGAATATTAAATGATAAATAATAGAACAACTATCATTTCGTGTATAGTAGAGGCAAATATCGCTGATAATCTACACACACGTCGACATGTAATTTATATATTACAAGAAACATTCTTATTGTCTTTTATATTAAATGAGAGAAAAAGAAAAAGAATGTAGACTATAGAAAATGATCTTTAATCACATCCGGGAATATTCTATTAAAAACGAGCATAATGAGATAGTTTTTATCATTCTTTTACTATTAGAGAAATATTCTATGACAAGAAAATTCTAATTATCTATATTTTTTCATCTTAAGCACTGAACCTGTCATATCATTAGTGTTACCTGAAGAGATGAGTTTTAAATTGAAAAAAAATTTATATGCGATGCTGTTCTTTTCTACTGAAAACGGTAAAAAGTATCTTGAAGAGTATCCTTTTATTTATTCTAATAAATTTCAAGTCATATATCTTTTATTAGAGAAAACAAATCTAGCTGATGTCATCTCTTTCGTTTGTCTCGAAATTTTCTTTCTATTAAAATAGAAATCTCTCAAGCTATTACTATCATTCTATTATAAAAGCATATAATCTGACGTTTATATTCTAATATAGAAATTATTTATTCATTAGTAACTTGATTTACTATTTTTGTAAACGATACATTTTACTGAGGTAAAAACGCATATATAAACAAGTAAAATATAGATGGCTGAAAATAATGATGATGATGATGATCAGCAACAACACGAAATGTTTCCGATAAGGAATAAAAGGCGACATTTCTCCTATATTCCTGTATCATCAAATGGTTTACTTCTTAAACGATTATCTGAAAATCATATGACAATGTCTCCTATAAGAAAGAGACGAACTGTATCTGAACAAATCAACTATCATGATCGGTAGATAAATAAAATAGAAAAATATTCGTGTTTTTTTTTTGAATGAAAATAAATTCATTCTTATCATATTCTCTTTTTATATTTTAGTGTAATGCAGTTAAATGCTAGTCCAACATTAGCAGCGGCTGCTGCTGCTGCGGATCCAGCCTTACATAAAGATAATTGGCAACAACGACGTTATAATTTTCTAAGTAAAAATAGTATGTTTGGTGGAGAATTAAAAGATGAAGTTGTTAATGAACAAGGCACTGATGTTGAACAAAGGTAAGTAGAAATTTACAAAGAACATTCATCGAAAAAAAAAACAATCTGATGTATTCTAGACCAATTATTGGACCATTACAAATGAAAACATCAGGTAGTATGGATTCTGAAGTATCGAATACTAAACGTGAATCAATTTTGGGTATGGCTGTCAGCGGTGTTCGTAATCTATTAGTTGTACGTATTACCGTATCATTTTGTTATTTTATATATGATTAAAAATTATTGAAGGTAGACGAATTGTCACGTAAAAAATCCATTCGCGCATCTACACCATGCCTTGAGGTTAATAGTAATATCTATGCTGATGTCTGTGCGTGTGTCTATGTTATTTTATTTGTTTAAAATTAGAAAGAAAATATGTTAATTAATATATTTATGTATATATATAGGAAAATGATGAAGATGAACAAGTTACTAATGGTGATGTGTGTTTAAAAAATATTGTATTAACAAAACAAAATTTAAATGAATCAACTGCTTTAGACGAACACGATGAAGTAGATGCACCCGCTTGGTAAAGAAAAACATATTGAAAAAGAAAAACCTATTAAAATAATTTTTTTTACAATTATTCTTAGTACACAATGTACACAAACGGATAATGATTTTCCTACACTTCCAAAAAACAGTAAATATTTATTTATTTATATAACAATATAAGAGAAAAGATTGATTGTATAGATATAGTTAAACATGGATTATTAAATAAAATATTTTCTCATAAACATCATCAATCAAAAAAGAAATTTGGTATTCAAGAATCATATCGTTCTCATCGTCCTTATTTTACTTATTGGGTGACATTTGTACAAATTCTTGTTTGTATTGTATCGCTAATTGTTTATGGTTATGCTCCATTAGCATCAACACAATCTGTAAATGACAACAAGAAAAAAAGGAAAGAAATAATCTATTCAATTTTCTTTTAGAAAAATGCAAGCATATTTGAACAACAACGATTTGATCTAACAATGAATCCATGGTTTGGTCCATATCCAGCTGATTTAATTCGTTTAGGTGCAAAATATACTCCATGTATGCGTAAACATGATGAAGTCAATAGTCGTTATGAAAAACAAGCAATCTTAGAGAGTATATCGGGTTGTTGTATTGATTCAATAACAAATCGTTGTATGCAAACACTTTCACAACAATGTCTTGTAAGAAATTCTTCAGTTGATTAAGATAAGATAAAGAAATGAATTTTTTGTATTTTTAGCCACGTGCTGGTTTAACATGGCAACAAATACCATTCAAAAGTAAAAATATCAAAGAAGCATCGAATGTAATTTATCCAGCTGTATGTGGTCTAACACCAGAGTAATAAAAAAAATTTTATTTACTAGATGAAGGTTTATTTCTTTTTTTTTCTTTCTAGAACTTGTACAAAACGATTAATGGGAAATATACCACGAGAAGATGAAAGTTCATGGACATCGACAATAGTTGATTCAAAAGTTCTTAAATGGTCTCCAAATGTAGTTAAATGGCCGGTATGTTCTATATTATTACGATTGATTCCTACATTTTCAATTTTTAGATTTGTCTAGAACAAAATTATGATCGAATAGCAAATAATATATCTCTTTATCCTCATATGCAATGTGTAAATATAGGTATATTTTAATATAATATTTCACTAGGAAATTATTTATTTATTTTCTTATAGCAAGACCTTGTTGTACTGGCGTACTCGGTGATTGCGTGTTAACATCAAGAGATGATTGTATACGTCGACGTGGTATTTTTCATCCACGAGCACATTTATGTTCTCAAGTAAAACAAATTCATTGTTTTTTTTCTTTATTTAAAAGGAAAATCTATTTTTTAATATTAGGTTGATTGTATACAAAGTGTTTGTGGTATGCTGGAATTTTTTGTTGGTAAATAATTAACTAGATTTTTGTTATATCATATACATATTTTCGATATTTAAGTTCGTGTTCCTGATCAAGTTTATCGTTTTTGGATTGTTATTTTCATTCATGCTGGGTAAAACTAATTTTTTTTGTCAATCGCAATAAATCTATATTTTTTTATCTATTTAGTTTAATTCATTTAATAATTACAATCATATTTCAATATACAATAATGCGCCCGTTAGAAAAATTAGCGGGTTGTATACGTGTTATGATTATCTATGTTGTATCAGGTTTTGTTGGAAGTTTAGCTAGCGCTTTATTTTTACGAGATTCAATACAAGTTGGACCTGGTGGTAGTCAATTAGCTATACTTGCTTGTTATTTAAGTGAATTATTTCTTGGTTGGCGATCATTAAAACGTCCATGGATACCATTTTTTAAAATAATTATATGTTTATTTCTTTTATTAACTGTTGGTTTATTACCCTTAGTTGATAATTATTCTCAATGTTTTGGTTTTCTTATTGGTTTTATGTTAAATATGATTGTTTTTCCTGATGTTAATTTTCGAAAAAATGTTCGTCGTCTTGTTGTTGTTACAACATCATTAGCTATAACAATTGCTTTATTTATTTCATTGATTGTACTTTTTTATACGGTACCATTTAAATGTGCATCATGTAAATTATTTAATTGTCCTTTTGGAAAGATTTGTGGGAACGAAAAACGCGATCTCGTATAGAAGAAAAAAACGTACTTTATCGGTCAGATAGAATATTCTAATAAATTGTATGTGTTCTTTTTCAATGAATAAAATAAATGTACAAAATAGTAAACGATTGTAGTAACAAATATATGATTACATTAACAGACAACAAAAATGAAGAAGAAGATGAAGAAAGAAGTTTGATGTTATTTGTTTGTATAAATTGTTCAATAGATTTAGCAATGCGTATTGCTTCGAGTTTAATTGAATTAGTTCTTAAACGTTCGATTGGATAGGAAAAAAGAATTGCATTAAATCGCTGATCAGCATGCATTCGAGTTGAATAAGTTGATAAACGATATCCAATTTGTCTTTGTTGCTGTGATTGTTCTAAAGGAATAACATATTTAAAGCCATTAAGACGTAAAAAATGTCCAAATGAATTATTTCCTAAAATAACACTTGGACCAGAACGTGAAATAAGTTCATTCATTGTCGATTGAATTGGTTTGCCAGCAATTGATGAATGTAATGGATCGTAACCATATCCAAGTTGTACTGTTTGTGAATTTCGATGAAATATAAATTCAATTAAAAGACCACGTGACGGTGGACGTATCGCTTCTTTAGCCATAGCTATCAATCGATGGTAATCAATATATGTACGCGTAGCACTTTCGATTAAAAATGTTCCTAGTAATAAATCTTCGGCAGGATCAACATATTGACGAGTTAATTTATTTAAAATTGTATGTGGACGATAGTGTGATGCGAATACTTCCGATATAGCTTTTGTTAATAAATACATCGATAATGTTGAACTACGATTAGTAACACATCTTGCATCAGCACGATAGGAAAGTTCATTTTTATATGATTTTAAACAATCTTGTATGGTATATACACATCGTTCTAAAGTGTCATTATAACAACCGGCTATTGGTAATTGTTGTAATGTGGTTATTAATATTTCATTATTCCGTGATTTTTTTCCAGTGTTTTTCGATGTTAAATTTGCACCAAGAAAACCACCATGGGGCGATGATAATATAAGATTTGTTAAACTACCTCCACGATTAAATTCAATTAATGATAAATAACTTTGATCATCGGAATCTTGACTAAAATATGATGTTAAATTGATGATAATAATTATGAATAATCTTGTGTCAAAATGCATTGGAATAAGAAGGAGAAAAACGTTAATTAACTACCTTATGATTGTTAACATTTATCTAGAAATCAATAGTTATATAAGTATAATCTAAGCGGTTTTCCTCGCCTCTTTTTTTTTTCTCTATGTTAATATATGCACATGGATTATAAAAAAAAATAAGAAGAATAGTTTTTCTTAGAAAGAAAAAAAAAGAGAGTTGCTCTCGAGCAATCGTGATGTGGAGGGAAGAAGGAATAATAACAAAATTCTCTCTTTGTGAACTGCAAAGTACGCGGAAGAGGACGAAGAAAAAAAAACAGAACTGCCAGTTGCCACATATATAGCTAACAGTCGAGTTGTTGTACTATCTACGTAGTATGCCAAGGCTGACAGACATACAAATAATGGTCTTGTCATGTGGTTACGTCCTTGAAAAAGAATTCTTAGAGGAAAATCATCTGCACGTTATAAGAAGACTTTTACTGCTGGAACTAGTCTTTGTACGTGATACTGTAAATTCATCAATCATAAATATCAAGTTTTTGTTTATTCATTTATTTAAACTTTAGATTATTTTTCTTGATAGAAAATTAGAGATATGTCAAAGCACATTGGACGTCGACTATCCTAATATAGATATCATATAGATAGATATATTTTGTCTTTTTTGTTGTTATGAGATAACACAAACACAGCGATCGTGTTATTAGATATCAGACAGCTTATTGACCTTGTGCTGGCAAATGATACTAATAAATATATGATTGACAATAAGGGATCAATAAGTTTTCTTTTATCTATATTCATAGACAAAGATTGATCTCGTCGGGAGGTTCTTATCATAAGATAATTTAAACATACTTACATGATTTCTTCTATTTTGAATTTTGTCTATCTCTTATTGTAGTGAGATCATTAAATGAACTATTAGTTTAGTAATCATGTATACAAGTCTTATCTTTATGTGTGTATGTATGTACATTATTATCTGTGTCTATATTCTCTCTATATAAAAAAAATGATGTTGAAGAGAATGTCAAGCATGATTAACAAGTGTAGTCATTATATTTCAATAAACGAAACATTAGAAAATGAAATTTACACTTTTACATTCGATAAAAGGTAAAAAAAAGAACTGTATATGTTACATAGAATGACTGAACCATTTGTTATGAACAGTCGATTAAAATCAAAGTATCTTTGTTGTATTATCATTATTCAAATGTATAATCTGTACGATCAAATTCTTTAAAAAAGATGTAATACATCATTATGTTGGCAATGTACTTATTTTCCATAAGGAAATTACGTAACTGTAACAAACGGTCGTGTCGTATTCTGCATAAATAAGT